CTCCCAGTAGACAGAGCAGAGAATAGATTATTCTTTTGTCATCTAAAATTAGGGATTACAAGGAAGAAAAGCTGCTCTGGGAATTATCTTTTAATACTAAAAAGCAAGGGAAAGAGTTTCAATATAAAATGCTGGCATACCTAGCCACTATAAATCCATGTGCAAAGTTCTCAAATATTTCATAGTTCTTCTAAGAAGTCAACTTTCAATAAACTATGTAGAGGGCTGCAGCAGTAGTTACCTTGATAAATCAACTCCCCAATCACTCATTTTTTTAAGATCAACTTTTTTTTCCAATTGTATATATATTCAATTCTCGTTATTTGTGGTAGTTATGGTTTATAAAGTTGCTGTGAGTGCTGCATTAGCAGATATTGAACCACTGCTCCTAGGGGAAACGTAAGATTAGGGTCCTCAGAGCCTTTGGTCACACCAAATCACTCATCTTTTTTTTTTTTTTCTTTGAGACGGAGTCTTGCTCTTGTCACCCAGGCTGGAGTGCAATGGTGCGATCTTGGCTCACTGCAACCTCCGCCTCCCAGGTTCAAGTGATTCTCCAGCCTTAGCCTCCCCAGGAGCTGCGACTACAGGCGCCCACCACCATGCCTGGCTAATTTTTGTATTTTTAGTAGAGATGGGGTTTCACTATGTTGGCCAGGCCGGTCTTAAACTCCTGAGCTCAAGCAATCTCGTGCGTCAGCCTCTTAAGTAGCTGAGACTATGGGCATGTGCCAACACACCCTGCTTTGTTTTTGTTTTTGAAGCAGGCAACTACCTTGCTTGGTTCAGGGGTTAGCGTGAAAAGCAGGCAAAGAGAATTGGGAAATCTTCTCTTTGGATCTTTCCCTTCCAAATTGCCTCTCTTCCTCCTGCAGCTGTGGTTTCCCCAGACTTGGTCTCCTGGTTCCTCAGGCCAGAAAAGCTGTGATCTCTCTGCCAGTGCCCCTACTATATCGCATGCCTTGCCAAGTATACTTGTCCCTAGGTTAAAACAAGCAAATGGAACTCATCGTGTGCATCACCTCTCCTCTAAGCATGAACTCCCCATCAGAACTGGCCTGCTTCTAAGCACTCTCCAGGGATTTCAGGTAGCCCACCAAAGTGCTGGGATTACAGGCGTGAGTCACTGCACCCGGCGAAAATAAGTCTTTCAATAACAAAGTGAATGCAGGGCCAGGCACAGTGGCTCCGTTGAGGTCAGGAGTTCAAGAACAACTTGGCCAACATTGTGAAACCCCGTCCCTACTAAAAATACAAAAATTAGCAGAGCGTGATGGTGCGAATCTGTAATCCCAGCTACTCAGGAGTCTGAAGCACGAGAATTGCTTGAACCCAGGAGGTGGAGGTTGCAGTGAGCCAAGATCACACTACTGCACTCCAGCCTGGGCACCAGAGTGAGACTCTCTCAAAAAAAGAAAGTGAATGCAGTATTTCCCTTCAATGTGGATATTGTGTTGGCTGCACAAAACTCTGGCTACGTTCAAATGGGAAAGAGGTAAAAACTGCCTCATGAGTTAGGGGCATTGTAGTTTCCCCTTTCTGATCCCATTCTATCTCCTGAACCCCTACCTCCTTTTCCAGCTGCCACAACCACAGAGGCCCTTGGCTGATGCATCCTCAAGCAACAGAGAATTCACTGAAACCTGGTATTATCTTTTGGCACTCTATAGCTTGAGAGACAGTGATTAGAAGGGGGAAAAACATAGAACTTCATCAACAGTGTGGCATTTTCACTTCAGCTGTTCCTGGGGGCAAAACAGAGCCATAAAGAGAAATTCCAGATTGAAAGCTTTGTGGTTATCTCTGCTTCTCATTAAAGTGCCCCTGATTATAATCACACCTACGATTACAAGATTTAACACACCTGGTCTCAAGGATGTACTAGGAAGAGGAATCATCTGTTCATCCCTTCCCATTTCCTTTTCTTTATTCACTAAGCACAACTTACACGTTTCAGTGAGTGCAGACTAGAGACGGTTTGGAGAACAGGCGGAGGTTTTTCATTCACATGGGTTTTGAAAGTGACAAAAATCTTCCATGGCCACAAATTATTTTAGTACTAGTGAGACAAGTGGTGTTGGTTTCATTGGCTACACACAGATGTGAGAAATCTGGATAGAGTTTCTATTTCTTCTCTGACTTTGCTAACCAGACATTTTCCTCTGCTACACACACACACACTCGCTCTGTCTCTCGCTTGCTCTCTCGCTTGCTCTCACTTTTACTCTCTCACTCAGTAAGGGTGTGTGCACTTACAGAGTCTCTCTCTGACACCCAGACTGAAGTGCAGTGGCGTGATCTTGGCTCACTGCAACCTCCGCCTCCCAGGTTCAAGTGATTCTCCTGCCTCAGCCTCCTGACTAGCTGGGATTACAGGCATATGCCACCATGCCTGGCTACTTTTTTGTATTTTTAGTAGAGGCAGAGTTTTGCCAGGTAGGCCAGGCTTGTCTTGAACTCTTGGGCTCAAATGATCCACCCACCTCAGCCTCCCAAAGTGCTGGGATTACAGGCGGTGAGCCACTGTACCCAACCAACTTGTATTTTCAAATACATTTTTGCTTTGAAATAATTTTAGATTTACACAAAAGTTGCAAAGATAGTACAAAGTCCCTGTATACCCCTCATCCATTCCCCTACTGTTAACAACTTACTTAACATCTTCGCCAAGAATTTTGTAGATCTTAACAGTGGATGAAAAACACTGATTCTTCTTAACTCCCTCTCATACAGTGGATTCTCAATAAGAGCAGTGTGTGTTATTGTCCCTATAGCAATTTATTTAATTATATGCATTACTGAGCTATAATCTATATGTCCCCCATCCCCATCGAGGTCCTAGGTAAAACCCTGGATCCACCATCCTTCCAGGTGAGTGCTCCAAGTTAATGAGCAAGTCTTTCCCTACAGAAGTTTTTTGTTCGTTTTTGTTTGTTTTTTGAGAAGGAGACTCACTCTGTCACCCAGGCTGGAGTGCAGTGGTGCGATCTGGGCTCACTGCAACCTCTGCCTCCCAGGTTCAAGTGATTCTCCTGCTTCAGCCTCCTGAGTAGCTGGGATTACAGGTGCCCGCCACCACGCCCGACTAATTTTTGTACTTTGAGTAGGGACGGGGTTTCACCATGTTGGCCAGGCTGATCTCGAACTCCTGACCTCAGGTGATCCATCCGCCTCAGCCTCCCAAAGTACTGAGATTACAGGTGTGAGCCACTGTGCCCAGCTACATAAGTTTTTATGAGTCAGCCAACCCATATTCCTTTGTATCACTATTAGTTGCCACCCCAATACCCATTTCCTGCCAAAATTCAATTTCATTCAGAGTAGCAATGTGCCAACTAAATACATTGTCAGGCTCCTCTGCAGCTAGAAACAATTGTGTGACACAGTTTTGGCCAACGAAATAGAAATTCTCCTGGGGGGTTCTGGGAAACTGTCCTAGTTCCCCAAAATAAGAAACAAAAGCACTTACGGCTGTCCTTCTCTTATCTTCTTTCTTACTCATTTAAATCATTCACAATGGCCAGAGCTGCAGCAGCTATCTTGTAGCCATGAAGCAAAGGCCACAAGGATTATAGAAATGTTGATCCTGTTGATACTGAGCTGCTAAACAGACACCACCTACTTATATTTCTTGTGATGTGAGAAAAATCCTTACTTGTTTAGGACATCGTAGTTGAAGTTTTTCTAATTTGTAGTTGAACAGGCTCATAGCAGATAAGTTCATTCAATCCAAACCTTCACCTACACAAGGTGGAGGAGAAGGGGGAGAAATGCAGCTGAGGGTAAAGCACTATTCCCAAAGCACTGGGAAATCCAACGGCCTCGCTAGTGAGCTGCAACAACAGCAAGTCGCTATGTAAAGAGAAAAGGTGGCTATGTAGGAAAGGAAGGGGATAACTTACCGAGTCCATGCCTGTACAAAAATGGCATCAGAAACTCCATATGGTAACATTCTAGGATGAATAAAGCCCATGTGTGTGACAAAACAATCACTTTTTTTTTTTTTTTTTTTTTTTTGAGACAGAGTTTCACTCTTGTTGTCCAGGCTAGAGTACAATGGCGCCATCTCGGCTCACTGCAACCTCCGCCTCCCAGGTTCAAGCAATTCTCCTGTTTCAGCCTCCTGAGTAGCTGGGATTACAGGCATGCACCACCACACCCGGCTAATTTTGTATTTTTAGTAGAGACGGGGTTTCTCCATGTTGGTCAGCTGGTCTCGAACTCCTGACTTCAGGTGATCCGCCTGCCTCGGTCTCTCTAAGTGCTGGGATTATAGGCATGAGTCACGAAGCCTGGCCTAAAAGAATCACTTTTATAATGGCTTCACTGACACTTGGTTAAATACCGATGTGTTAGCCACAGATGAGCATTGTGGATACTGGGTGGTGAATTATTAATGCAAATTTTCCATAGGAAGTCAACTGGGAATGTGTTTCCATATTATACTGACATGTAAAAGTATATATGTAAATATATACTTTCTTCCTGTATGGGCCATACACTGGGGAGAAATCCAGCCAAACCCTCTCGAAGGAGGAAGAAAATTTAATTTATGCAGCAACTAACATGTCATGGATTGAACTCAGCTAGAAAGGAAACATCTTCAATGAGGCCCTTTAGTAATTCAGAATGAACAATTAAATGAGTCAGGAAGGCAAGTCACTGAAGTTCATGCTGCAGAGGCAGGGTGAATGTGTTCTAGCTAGCTCACCTTGGAACAATGAGGACAATGCCAGGATTCAGGGCCTCAATCTATAACCTTGTGCTCTGGTTTTTCTCCAGCAGTTAGTATATAGTTTGGTCAATGTTACTGAGGTAATACAGACATACACTGAAGATACAAACAAGGATTTTTTCCTGCTACAAAATCCCTGTTGACGGACTCATTTGGATGAATCCATCGACGGAAGAGGTTTGAGGCCTTCCCTGGTAAAAGGAAAATTGAGAAATAGACAAATAAAAGAGGTGGAGAAATTGCAAAGGGCGAGAGACTGACTGACCTCAGTAGCTTTCTGGCTGAGTCCCCGAAGCAGCAGCACAACCACATGTATGGCAGCTCTGCGTACTTGAACTTCACTGTCTGTTTTGGCCACAGCAATCAGGCAAGCTGTTACCTAGGAAGATGAAGGAAGATGAAGTTGATAAGAATCAGAGTTGCACAATTACCTATAACCTTTCAACTGTGTTCCACTTACTATACATTCATCAAGAGCAATCTGGCTTAGAAAGGGCTGGACAGTTGCTTAATCCTCAACAAAGAGGGTGAGATCTAGTGGGAGAGATCTTGATGCAGTCTGGCTTTTCTGGTAGAGGACAAAATCTGGTTTGGAATTTAAGAACAAGATTATAGAGTGGGAAGGAATATGTGTACTGTATATTATATGTATTTTTTAAAAGGTAAGGTCAAATGCTAGTATTTCCACAGAAGTGGGGAAGAATTGTTCCTTGTCCCCCTTTGAGAACATCAAATCAAAGGAAAAAAGACGGTCCAAACCATAGCTGCTTCTAGAGAAGGAGGATCATGGGGATTTAGCTAAGGAGACTTCAGAGTTCACAGTCTGGCATGAATGTGAATGTACCATTGATGAAAGTTTCAGCCTAGGGATACAGAAATACAGATATATTCTAACTGATCTTCTTCAGCATGTCCAGACATTCCAGTCCTACAAATGTAGTGTATACCCGATGTGAGTCAGCAGGGGTCACTTTCAGAGACTTCCTGAATATGGAATAGGGCTTTCTGTGCTCAATTACTTTATGTATTTTTTCTGTTTTGTTTTGAGACAGGGTCTCACTCTGTCACCCAGGCTGGAGTGCAGGGGTGCAAGTGACCCTCCCACCTCAGCCTCCCAAGTAGCTAAGACTACAGGTGTGCACCACCATGCCTGGCTAATTTGATTATTTTTTGTAGAGATGAGGTTTTGCCATGTTGCCCAGCTGGTCTTGAACTCCTGGGCTTATGCAATCCTCCTGCCTTGCCCTCCCAAGGTGCTAGGATTACAGGTATGAGCCACCGTGTCAAGCCTGTGCTCAGTTACTTTTTTTTTTTTGAGACGGAGTCTTGCTCTGTCGCCCAGGCTGGAGTGCAGTGGTGCAATCTCAGCTCACTGCAACCTCTGCCTCCTAGGTTCATGTGATTCTCCTGAGTAGCTTGGACTACAGGTGCACATAACCATGCCTAACTATTTTTTTTTGAGACAAGAGTCTCACTGTGTCACCCAGGCTGGAGTGCAGTGGCACGATCTTGGCTCACTACAAGCTCCGCCTCCCAGGTTCATGCCATTCTCTTGCCTCAGTCTCCCGAGTAGCTGGGACTACAGGCACCCACCACCATGCCTGGCTAATTTTTTGTATTTTTAGTAGAGATGGGGTTTTACTGTGTTAGCCAGGATGGTCTCCATCTCCTGACCTCGTGATCTGCCTGCCTCAGCCTCCCAAAGTACTAGGATTACAGGCGTGAGCCACTGCGCCTGGCCCACCTAAATTTTTGTATTTTTAGTAGAGACAGAGTTTCGCTATGTTGGCCAGGTTGGTCTCGAACTCCTGACTTCAGGTGATCTGCCCGCCTCGGCCTCCCAAAGTGCTGGGATTACAGGCATGAGTTACTGGGCCCGGCCAGTGCTCAATTACTTTAAAAGACCATACTATCACAGGAAAGAAAGACTGGAAATTACTTGCAAAATGGATACATAGTTAATTATGTCATAAAATCAAACAGTTGAATGTAATGGCCACTGTACCCCTCCCTGACTCCTGGTAGGCAGAAAAATGTTTGAAAATCTCAATGAAGCGATACAATTAATAATAATGACAACAAACCTTTCTGAGGCATTCATGTAAGATTTAAAAAGAGAAAAAAAAATTTTTTGAAAGTGCGACCAACGGCAGCAACAATCTGAAGGTATGTCTAACTTATTCAACTGGTCTCTCATATACTTTTATTTATTTATTTATTTATTTGAGACAGGATCTCGCTCTGTCATCCAGGCTGGAGTGCAGTGGTGCAATCTTGGCTCATTGCAACCTCTACCTCCTGGGTTCAACTGATTCTGGTGCCTCAGTCTCCTGAGTGGCTAGGACTACAGGCACGTGCCACCATGCCTGGTTAATTTTTTGTATTTTTTGGCAGAGGCAGGGTTTCACCATGTTGGCCAGGCTGGTCTCGAACTCCTGACCTCAAGTGATCTGCCTGCCTCAGCTTCCCAAAGTGCTGGGATTACAGATGTGAGCCACCGCGCCTGACCTCTCATATACTTTTGTCGTTGGACTTACTGTGTGAGTATATTTCTTGGCCAGTAGTGGAAGGATATCTAATTATGATAGGAAAATAGCCAGACTGTGTTTAGAAACACGTACAAATACATATTATGTTTAAAGAATGGTGAATATGAGAACAAGTGAGGAAACAGGCTTGTGCAGAAATTTTAACTATACAGGTTGTATTTTTCACAGCTTTCAAACAGTTGGGCATAGTTCAAAGTATCTAATTAATCAGTGATGGCAGAGAGATTAGAAGAACTAGCTCGTTCTTAAGTATAATTGCGTCTGTGACGCACTGGCATTTAATCAAGTTGTGCATCTATTAGACAAACTTGCAGCTTGCAAGTGAAGGAAAATCCCAGAGGAGTTCAACCCTTTGGGGACTGCTTTCAGTAAGACCCAGCAAGCTGTTCTGCCTTTGACTTGGGATGCCCAACCCTAAGGCCAGCAGTGGCTTCCATGCCTCTGGCATTAACAGTAGAAGCAATTCAGTCCTAAGAGGAATTCCTTGGGCAACCTCCAAACAGGCAACAATATAATAGCTACCTCCACTTTCAGGCTTAGTATTTACAAGGTAAGAGCTGAAACCAGAGAAACAAGTTAGAGCTAGGTCTGAGTCCCTCTTGACACAGGGAAGTCAAATCTGGTCTGATGGCTAAATTATGGAAGCCAGCCCAAGGCCATGGACCGAGCGGAGGGTCTTAGGCGTTCTGCTTGCTCCCCTCTACATTTAGCTTTGGGTCCCTGCTTCCATGTTTGGCAGACCAAGGCTCCCTGCCTAGAACCATGTTGGTGTCTGCCTTTGTCACCTCTGTTCTGCCTCTCTCTGCTAAGCGGGTCATGCTTCCGCCTCAGGTCTCAGTGTAAGGCCGGCTCTCACAGTTGGGAATTTGGGCATTAATCCCACAGTCGAGATGTCCAGGCAGAAGCATCCTGCCTGGAAAAAGGCTTTTCCTTCAAGGGCAATTCTTTTTGTTGAGATGGAATCTCGCTCTGTTGCCCAGGCTGGAGTGCAGTAGAGTGATCTCAGCTCACAGCAACCTCTGCTTCCAGGGTTCAAGCAATCCTCCCACCTCAGCCTCCCTAGTAGCTGGGACTACAGGCATGCACCACCATGCCCAGCCTTCTTCTTCTTCTTTTTATTTTTTTGGAGACAAGGTCTCGCTGTGTCACCCAGGCTGGAATGCAGTGGCATGATCTCAGCTCACTGCAGCCTTCACCTCCCAGGCTCTGGCGCTCCTCCCACCTCAGCCTCCTGAGTAGCTGGGACTGCAGGCGCCCAGCACTACACATGGCTAATTTGTGTAGATTCTGTAGAGATGGAATTTTGCCATGTTGCCCAGGCTGGTCTCAAACTCCCCAACTCAAGTGATCCGCCTGCCTCGGCTTCCCAAAGTGCTGGGATTCCAGGCATGAACCACTGCACCCCAGTCAAGGCCAATTCTTGAATCCCTGTGCCACCTTGAAGGTATGACTGAGAGAGGAGCTGGTTATGACAAGCCTTGCTGAGATCAGCTGAAATAGCCTTCTGCTTGCTATGGGCTATTAGTGACTTATGCACCAGACTCCACCAAACCCATCTGTAGTCAGCCATCCAGGACAATCAGGAAGAGGCCCGAGAACTGAAGAGCATTTGGGAAACTTCCTCAACCCCTCTGTCACCAGGACCAAATCATGTGAAATGTATAATGGTCTGCCACATAACATGTTTTTTGAGCATCAGAATTTCAATATAGTCTTACGGATATCATCTAAAGATTAGAACAGCCTTCTGTTCAGGTCAGGCACCCATAACCAGCTTATAATGCTGCTCTCCAGCAGACCAGAGAGACAGACCCCTTGGCCAACACTAGAAGTGGGGAGGATGTAGGCCACTCTCTTCTACGTATCCAGGCTGGAAAAGTCACTTCAAGGCTAGTCTCTCACCTCCAACTCCAACAACATAATGAACACTGAGTTCTACCTCTAAAAACCTCGGTAAGATAGATAGATGATGTAAGGTCTTTACTAATTTATGAATTGGTGTATTATTTCTATTCTCTAAGTTCTCTCAGAGGGCAGAAATCCATTCTTTTTTTTTTTTTTTTTTTTTTTTTTTGAGGCAGAGTCTTGCTCTGTTGCCCAGGCTGGAGTGCAGTGGTGTGCTCGCAGCTTACCGCAACTTTGCCTCCCGGGTTCAAGCGATTCTTGTCTCAGTCTCCTGAGTAGCTACACGCGCCTGCCACCACACCTGGTTAATTTTTGTATTTTTAGTAGAGATAGGGTTTTGCCATGTTGGCCAGGCTCTCAAACTCCTGACCTCAAATGATTGCCCACCTTGGCTTCCCAAAGTGCTGGGATTATAGGCGTGAGTCACTGTGCCCAGCCAGAAATTCATCCTTTTGTCACCTGCTTTGAGTAAAGCATACTATGGAAGGCTTTCTCTTCACTGGTGAAATCAGTAAATTGCATCCACTTCTAAAAACCATCCAGAGAGAAACATGCTGATTGCTTTGGAAGCATTAAAGGTCAGTTTCAGCAATTTAACACTTAACAGGAGCCAAGAGAAATAAGGAAAAACACTCCCAAAACAGCTGGCACACACCAAGCATAACCAGAACTATATAAATAAAGATAGTACAAATGGCAAGATTACCAAAAACTGACTTTGGAAAATTCCAGGCGAGAAGCTGCCAGAATTGAGGTACGTATCGAGGAAGCATGACTTTAATTTTCCAACTGTATCTTCATCCATTTTGCTAAAGCTTCCTTTGTTAAAACTCAGTTGGTTTGCTAACTTGTCTACAACTTTACCATCTGTAAACCAAGAAACCTTAACAGCAAAGACAGTGTGACCAACCATTCTCATGAGCTT